TGAACGGGCAGCTTCTTTTCCTTTTTGACGCGCATGCAAAGGTGTTTTGCTGCTGATTTAGGGCCCGGAAGGACCCTTTCATTTCTCTCTACTGCAGCAGCAGCAGCTGCTGCTGATGCTGCAGCAGCAGCAGCTGCAGCAACCGCTGCTGCTGCTGCTGCTGCGCCCGGGCGTCTCTTGCTGCCTTTGTAGCTACTCCAGCTCTCTCTTCTGTCTTTTTTAAAATTTAAAGCTTCTGCTTTAGCGGCCTTTCATCTGCCTCTGGGCAGCAGCAGCAAAGAGAGCAGCAGCAGCTGCTGCTGCAGCTGCTGCTGTATTATCCCCTGCTGCATCGACTCCAACAGCTACAGCAGCAGCAGAGTAAGTCTTGTACAGCATTCCTTGCTGCTTGAAGCTCCACTGCCAGCATCAGCAGCAGCAGCAGCAGAAGTAGCAGCAGCAGCAGAAGTAGCAGCAGCAGCAGCAGCACCGCAAAGCCGTGTTTGCTGCTATTTCCTTCCCGTCAATTCATCCCCGCTCCTTAATACTGGGCCCTCAGCAGCAAGGGCAACAGCAGCAGCAGCAGCAGCAACAGCAGCAGCAACAACAGCAGCAGCAGCAGCAACAGAAGGGCAGCACCCCGAGTTGCAGGAGCTGCTCCTGCTGCTGCTGCTGCTGGGGGGCAGCAGCAGAAGAGATGTCCCCAAAGACTGAGTCTGCATTGCTTCGGTAGTCCCTGCAGCTTCTATCTGCTGCAGCAGCAGCAGCTGCTGCTGCTGCTGGAGGTTCAAATGGGGCAGAGCACCGGGGGCCTTCCCTCTGGTGGTGGTGGTGATGTCTCCTTATTTGCTGCTGCTGCTGAGATAGGTGCTGCTGCTGCTATTAGTGCAGAGCAGCAGCAGCAGCAAGAGCTGCTGCAGCGCGAGCACCATGGTGGTCCCAGTAGCAGCAGCCGCAGCAGCAGCCACAGCAGCAGCAGGAGCGGCCGCAGCAGCCGCAGCAGCAGCCACAGCAGCAGCCACAGTAGCAGCAGCAACAGCAGCAAGACCTGCGCTTCACCGCAGCCTGTAGAAGGAGGCCCCCCTGTCTCCCAACCTGCAGCCACAGCAGCAGCAGCATCAGCAGCAGCAGCAGCAGCAGCAGGGGAGGCGTGTGGGGCCGCGCCAGGGAGTGCTGCAGTGTCTCCGTCTAGCAGCATTTGTTTAGGAGCAGCATCTCTGCTGTCTCTTTCAACAACAGCTGCCTCTGCTGCTCTCTCAGGCTGCGGAGACACCGGAAGTAATGCAGCCTCTGAGTTAGGGGCCCCTAGCGAGGAAGGCCCAGCAGCAGCAGCAGCAGCAGCAGCAGCAGCAGAAACAGCCGCTGAAGGAACGATGGGGGGCCCTTGCTGCAACCCCGATCAACCCACAGACACACAGGACTTGCTGCAGCGCCAACCGCCAGCTTCACAAGAGCAGCAGGAGGAGGAGGAGCAGCAGCAGCAGCAAGAGCAGCAGCAGCAGGGACATTTCTTGCGGCGCTCCGACAGGAGGCTTCAGACTGAACCCCCACGGGCCCACAACAGCAGCAACTTTTTAATGCGTATATTCCGCTCTCTAAGCAGAAGCAGCAGCGATATCCCTGCTGCTGCTGCTGCTGCTGCTGCTGCAGCAGACGCGCGCCTGCAGCAGCAACAGCAGCAACGACAGCAGCAACGGCAGCAACAAGGCCGTCGACACAACACTGTTAGAGAAGCCAGTCGCAGCAACAGCAACCTCAGCAGCAGCAGCAGCAGCAACAGCAGCAGCAGCCGCTCGCCTATGAGTTTTGTTAAGGGTTTATCTCGTCGAGGGTTTACAAACCGCTTGACTTCAGGGGGCCCCTCGGGGGCCCCTGGGGGCCCCCAAGGCATCACTGTTGCTGCAATGTGTGTCTCGGACTTGGGGGGTGTTCACGTGGATACGGGATCGGGATCGGGATCGGGATCGAGTGCGTTTGTGGGGGGCTCTCCTGGGTTTGGTTTTGCTGCTGGAGGTGGGGGGCATCTTGCTGCAGTGCGGGCAAATTCAGAACTCAGCAGCAGCAGCAGCAGCAGCAGCAGCAGTGGAGGTGTTCAATGCGGGCTGCCTGTGCGTCGTGTGGGGAGCATATCTGTAAGCAGCAGCAGCAGCAGCAGCAGCAGCCACAGCAGCAGCAGCAGCAGCAGCAGCAGCAGCAGCAATGGGGGCCCTTATTATTACTTCGGAGAGACGCGAAGAGACAAGCGACACGGCTGGGGACAGATCGCAGACGCAAACCGTCTGCTGTTTGAAGGAGAGTATAATAATAATACAGTCTTAGGCTTTTATATTTGTTATCACGAATATGCTACAGAGTTTGGCTACAGAGAGTTAAACGAAGTGTGCGCTGTATGGGTACCCAGCGACAGCAATCACTTCATTATCCCTCTTACGCAGCAGCACCAGCAGCACCAGCAGCAGCAGCAGCAGCAGCAGGGGCAGGGGATGATGCAGCAGCAGCAGGAAAGGGCACCGCCAGTGCG